TATAGGCTTAGGTTCATAATCACCTTTTCTTTAATTAATTAACGCTTTAACTAATTAAACTTGAATGCAACATTGTCATTTGGTTTTTGTATCCATAGAATTGATTTAGATGGAGTTAAATGAAATGAAAATCCAATTCTCATTTAAAAGATACAAAACTATTTTGTTCTCTACTAATTTGGGCCAAGATGCAATAACCTCAACTTTTTGGGTTATATTGCAAAACACAAAATTTTGAGGTCACTTTGTAAAAACACAAAAGTCCACTACTTCCTTTAGTGTTTTTAGGCATTTATATAAAAACGTAAACTTTCGGGTCAAAGTGCAAATACACAAAAGTATCAAAACTTTATGTAATTACATAAAAGCCCCAAAAGTACCCATCTTATAGGGTTGGCTGGTTATTGTGAATAGTAAGACGTTGGATGGTTTTTTAAGAAAAACAAAGTCTTAAAGTCAAGTATGTTGAAAAGATGATGGGTATGATGTTGAAAAAATAGGTATGGGTGTGTAAGAGAAGCACCAATCATGTACAAAAATTCAAACACATTTTCAACTTTCAATCACTTTTGTTTTTTTTTTAAATTGTCTTGTTGATTAAAAAGTGACACCATCCATCATAAAACAAGACTTTATGTATATAATCTAAAACTTTGAATCAAAACACCAAACTTTTGTTCTTGGTAATGAACAAAGCAAGAACATTGAAGAACATCCATGAAAAACCCATAAGAGCTCCATGAATGTTTTCACTCAATAAAACTCAAATTTTCACTACTCAAAAAAGGGTTAACATCCTAAGTTACTTAGGGGTTCCAAAAGTCACTTTAAAACACTTTTAACAAGACAAACATGAACCCAAAAATCCACCCTTTGGATTTGGCCGAATTTCCTCATAAACATGGCACCAAATTTTAGCTCCAAAATTCATGCTCATATGAACTACATCTACAACATTTGAGATGGCAAATTTTCAAGCAAAATGTACATTCAATGAAGCAAGAATAAAACTTGTAACAATTACAACATTCAAATCAAAGACTATGAGCTACAAAACCCAATGGCCGGCCTCTTAGAGAGAAAAGGGAGCTTGTGTTCTCATCTTTTCTCCAAAAGAAACCCTAAGGATGAAATGACTATAAAGTTGCCTTTATACCACCTCACAATGAAGTGGCAAACTTGCAATTAAGCCAAGTTCACTACCCCTCTCTATATGGCCGGCCATTAAGGGTTCATTGGGCTTTCAAGCACTTTGTCTTTTCAAGTTGTCATACAACTTGAGTTAATGGGCTTGACATTCAAATCCCATTGGGCCTTACGGTCCAAAACTAACCCGAGGTCTATAACGAACATATTTGTTTAATTAATTAACATATTAATTAATCCTACCCATAAATAATTAAACCATTTAATTATCCTTACTCATCTCCGTTGTTTCTTCAATCTCTACCTTACACGATGTACAATCCATTAGGTTCCTTTTAGCGAGGCAGTGGAAGATTGTTACTCTTAACGATCGATTGTGAACATACTTTCAATTCTCCCTTTAGTGATTACTCACTTTTAAGGCTTCCACAAACCATGAGTGACACCTAGCAGTATGTCATGGCTACTCAAGCTAATCAGAAAATGTGGAGAACCTATTCAGTTTAGGATTACAATGCAATATGGTCTTTCTCTAATACAATACTCTTGACCACATTGTTTGGTTTGATAGTTTATTCATGTCTACTATCCAATGTGATTCTCTTACTTATATGATTACCTTGAATGTGATTTAGAATGACTTCCTAAATCTCGTTCATACTCTGGCCAGAGATTCTTAATCATATCATAGAGTATTCTCCCTCAAACGGTTTGAAGGTTAGAGATCCCTTGTTGCACATTCACTTGCCTCCATGGCTAAGTGGCTTAACCCCAACTATGCCGTGGACACCCTCTGATGGAGTGACTTTGACATAGTCAAAGATCAAAGACCTAACCACAAGACAACTATGATGCCTCAGGTCAAATGACTACTTTGCATTATCCTAACCATGAGTTCTCATGTGACATGAGTATGAGAACTCCTTATTGATCGTGTTCAGTGGACTTATTCTCTATTGAGCATCTACATGCTTGTCTTGGTGTTTGTCACACCAATGACTCGAGACCAGTCACTTTCCCTAAGAGAAGACATAACACGTACTAATCTTAATGGACTGTCAATGCCCAATTGGCAATACTATGATCAGGAACGTTTATGATATGTGTACAAAAGAGAATGGTCTCATGAATCTAAAGAGAATGGTCTCATGAATCCAACTGCTTTAGATCACATTCTCCCAAATACATATTCCTTGGACTTATCATTTAAGCATATAACATTTATATGAGACGGCTTCAAACAATAATTTTTGCCCTTTATATTAAACTAGATTAGTTTAACATGTGAAATATCCTCATACCCTGTAAATTATCATCATATGATTGGTTTTCTATTCGCCCTACTTCAATATTACTTGTGTAAAAATAAAAGAAGTAGGTAGAACGAGATAGGGTTTTTTTTTTCTCTAATACACAAGCAACATTGCGGGAGAACAGATTCGAAACTCTGTATAAAAAAATGTATTTAATCGTTTGAATTACAAGTTTCTTGTGGAAAAATATCATTAACTAATGAAACAAGGTTAGTAGCCAAGATTAATATGCTATTTTATTATCAAGACATGTTTTTTAAATGATATAAATTATAATGTAATGTAACATTTACACATGTGAGTGAGTGAGTGGGTGAGTAGGAATGGTAGTTAAGGTGGTGGTTAAGGAGGTTGTGACTTAATTGTGAGGTTTACATGCTATGTCTTTCCTTCCCAATGCGATATTATTCTCCATCAATTTGATCAAAACAAACATTATCCTCCATCATCATGCTTCATGTCTTATAAATTAATTAGGGATTTTTGGATTATGTGTGATTAATCTAACTATGACCACTAAAGAAGGACAGACAAATTTAAGAGTTGTATCCATCTCAATGAATTATTGGTAATACTTGCGTTAAGATGCAGGCGTGAGTGTAGCCGCATTGGCTAGAGAGCACATGCTCCTTCTATATCGCTTGTGTAAATTTAGATGAGTTAAATAAAAGCTCATCACTTGACCTTGATTTTTGTTACATGCTAAAAGTGCACTACTCATTCAGTAGACAATTGTTATTTAGTGAATTAGTTATATGAAGGAATATCTCGTGAGTTTGAGTCACATTTGCACTTGTGATGGATTAATCATAATCAAATTTCAAGTATTCGAGTTGAATTATTCACAAATGTAGAGTTTAAGCTGAAGAAAAAAAAAATACAAAATCCTCAAATATTGTTTTAAATGTGTAAAATTAATTGATAATGGAGTTGAGATGGCATAATGTGACACATCACCCATTTTGGTAATGTTTTAAGGACCGAGCTGGCAAAGTCCCAATAACAAGCACACACATTGGCTGTAGCCAAGTGGGCTGCCCACCACCTCTTTTTTGTCTATTTGTTCTTCTTGACCTGTCTCCAACCGCCGACCTCATCTCTTGCCAACCAATACAAAATCTACATACCTAAAAAATATAGGATAATTGTCATTTAGTACTATAATCTAATGATAATTTTTTTTATTTGTAAATAAAAGACTTTAAGTTCAATTATTGTTAAAGACGAATTTGAATCACATTATTGCTAGCCTATTGTGAGATTTAGCTTGCTCCTCATCTCCTTGATGTAAATAACATCGTTTGTTCAAAAAAATATATATATAAGGCAATTTTGTCAAAAAAGTAACCGAAAATTGGCTAAATAGGGTTTTTTTTTTGTTTGTTTAACAAATGATATTATCTATATTTAGGAAGAAATAGGATAGGCAAAGCTTCACAATAGGCTAACAATAATGTAGTTCAAATTCGCCTTAGACAAAAATCGAACCTAAGACATCTCAATTACAAATGATGAGAAATACCATTAATCTATTGTATTAAGTAGGAATTGGCTAAATAGTTTAAATTCAGTATTTTGATTGCTAAACAAATAATATTTCTTTGACGAATTTAAGAATAAATTGATATCGAAATGAACTAGTTATTCACTTGATTCCAACTTAAATGCTGTAAAATTAGAGAACTTTAACGAAAAGCTCTGGTACTGTTCACTTTAACGAAAAACCATATTTTTACACTAAAAAGTCAATCTTGGTACTATTCACTTTACCCTTTATTTTGTCCTTATCGTTAAAACTCAAAGTTTTCAAGCCCTTTTCATTAGTTTTCCTGTAAAATTAGGGTTGTGATTTTCGCGTACCCTTAACTACCTTTCCCACACCCTCCCTATTTTTAATAGTTAATTGGTATCCTACTATTTAATCTTCCATATATACCCTTCCTACTTTTTTATGGTAATTAATGAAAGATTAAATAGGGAGGGGTATATATGGAAGATTAAATAGTAGGATACCAATTAAGTACTAAAAAATAGACAAGGATGTGGAAAAGGTAATTAAGAGTGAAAATCACTACCCTAAAATTATCATGGGACTGTATCATTAATTGACGCTCGTTCAAGACTTGATGCAGATTTCCCAAAAAAAAAAAAAAAGACTTGATGTTATAGAATCACTAGAACAAATCTCAGTGATGACTTGCTACATCTTTTCTTTGGCTGCTGCAGCATATTACCACCTTATACTATAGGTTTTATTTAATATTTGTTTTGGTGGAATATTAAATATTTTTTTGAAATAAAGAAAAAGAAAGAGACATAGACACAAAAATACGGAAATAATGAAATTTTAACGAAAAACTTTCGTACTGTTCATTTTAATGAAAAATTATATTTTTACACTAAAAAGTTAATTCTGATACTATTTACTTTACATTTTATTTTATCCTTATTATTAAAATTCAAAGTTTTCAATTCATTTACATTAGTTTTACTATGATTGAATGTAGTGAGAAATAAAGAGAAATAAATATTACGTCTCCTCTCTCTCTGTCTGTTAGCTTTCTTTCGTATATCTCTTCCTTCTTTGCTTCCTCCCTAGCAAAGAAGAGAGGAAAGGAGACGGCCAAGCAACAAAAAACCACCTGCCGGAGCATCATAAATACCCGTTTATGTGAAAATTTTTGAAGCATTTTTTTCGTTAGCTTGAACTTTGAAGGCTCGGAAGGGAATTGGGGGTCCTTGCTTTCAATTTCATTGGTGGGTTTTTGTTGTTGGTGAAGAATCAAGATGATGGTCGCAAGCAGTTTTGATCTTTGGAAAAAGGACGTCTTCTTTCCTGCAGCTGAGGAGGTCCAAGAATCAGCTGACATGTATGTTCATGTTTTTCTTTTCCTTTTGCTTTTCATTGTTTTTTTTTCTTTTTTTTTTCTAATTTTATTTTATTTATTTATAATTTTTATCATGTGGGTTCAGCTGCTTTGATTGGTTTCTATGTTTATTTAGACTGTGTTATTGGAAATTGGATATGGGTTTTTTGAATTATGTTTTTGCGAGATTTTTCGAAGTGAAATACGCATTAATTGTTTGTGTTTTATCTTTCATAGTGCTTAAATTATATAAATTGTTGGAAAATTTTTCATTTGGGCGGTTGTGCTGCTGGTTTTTGAGTATCAGTTTGTTGGAATTCTGGGTTGTGTGTTTCTCTCCCCTTTTCCCATTTTTTCAAAGTTTTGATGATGTGCCTGATGTTTATTTTGGGTTGAATTTGAAATTCTAGATAGGTTTATGATGAGTACTCTCTCATGGTGGTTTGGAAATGATAACTTGTTTACGGGTATAGCTTCTGTACGCTGTAATGGAGTGCGTTAGCGTGATTTTACCCTTCATTTTGGATGATAAGAAAAAATATTCTCAACTGTACTGGGAATGGGGAAATGATAAATTGTGTGTATTTTAATCATTAAGGGAAATGCTCTCATGATGTTGGATGACTTTGTGAGCCAGTCATGTTTGGTGATTGCACTCTGAAGGTGATGGTAGACGGTAGACCGCCCTATATCCCATGGAGAGGTGAACTATAATTGAAAGGTCACTTTCTTCCCGGCCTAAGAAAAAGATCATTTTCTTCCAGTTTAAAATTTGAGTGTTTATGCTACAGATTGTCAACTCCTGATGTTTAGTAGTCAGTGATTATAGGGATTTAGTGGTATTATACTGCTATTCCATCTATAAGTTTTTGCATAGGGAGCCCATTCTCGTTTTCGGATACTTGGAAACTACCACCATCTTGATATATGTTCTTTTAGAAATCTCAGTAAAATTGGTACTCGAAATAACTTATTCTCTAACTCCCCCTTTTATTTTCCGTTTATTTTGTTTTCCAGAATGGAATCTACGTACAGGGTATGGGTTCGACAGAGGAGTGAAAGGCTAGCACCAAAACATTTGGATGAACTCTGTAGGGAGCTGCAAACTGCTTTAGGTACTGCCAAATGGCAGGTATGTCTCTTGTCTCTCTTTAGCTATCTACTCTTCTTCTTCTCTTGTTTATTCACTGTACAAAAATATGATCAGAATTTATGAGTGTATCAATACTATCCTGGTGATTGTTAATAAAGTTGAACAAGGAAGAATCCAATTTAGATAAGTTTTCCATCGATTCTTTTGAAAGTCAAAAAACTCATCTCAGCTTTAACCATTGTTGGATATTTTGTTCCCTAAGATGAGATATACACTTTCTTTGCCGCCAATCTCTGTTAGCATTTCAATCCTGATTTGGACTGTTAGATATTATTAATTAATTAGAAATCAGAGAAAGTGTTTTATATAAGTGGTTTAGCTGGCATTGCACTTTTTCTAAATGTATTCTGTCATGTTGAATTGTTAATGCGTTTTAGTTGGAAGAGTTTGATAAGGCTGTCAGGTTGAGCTATGGACAACGTGGTGATGATCATACAGCAGCTAGACATGGACAATTTATTACTGCTATTGAAAACCAAATTTCCCAAGTTGAAACAGCACTAAGGGAATCGTTTAGTGTGGAAGGAAAGCAACCCCTTCGATGGGTACAGCTGGATGAAGAAGAACATGATGATTTTGCTGCATTTCTCTCTGGGACATCCCAAAGTATGCGAACTGCTAAAAATGAACGTCTAGAACTCGGACCTTGTGGGAGCAGCTCTGGGGAAAGTGACAATAGAAGAAAAGAGATGAACCTTAAATCTAGTGCTGCATGCAATGGAGACATCTCTGATGAAATAAAGGGTGTTAAAGATGTTATTACTATTTCCAAGGATCCAAATTTCGTCATGGAATCAAAAGGAAAAGAAATTGCAGGAATGAGGGATGATATATTTTATGATACAGAAAAAACAACTAATACAAGGAAGGCATGCAGTTCACCAAATTACGGTGAGCTGAGGATCGTAATAGCGGATGAAGTTGAACAGAGAAGAAATCTAATTCCGGGGTATGAGGACACACCCAAAGAAAAAGGATCTAAACTTGTCTTCTGGAGGCAAAGGTGTGGGCAATTGCATCAGGTAACTGGAGCAGTTAATTTGTTCAACCAGGTCAGATTATTACGTACTTGAAGGGAAGAGTTGATTATAACATATGAATAAAAGGCAATATATCTTTCACATGCAAGGAGAAAGAAAAGAACGAATTTGGTTTTTGTTCTTTTCATCCTCTCTCCTCTGCTTTCTTTCAGTTGATAGATTTTTTTGTTTGTTTATTTTTTATTAATTTTTAGAAAAACTCATAGATTGTCTTTGCAGATGTTTGGTCGGGTTGGTGCATCTCAGAAGCAATTGCAAAGTCCACGGAAGCAATGGCAAACACCACTACGCTTGCACAATCGTTGTTCAGTTCATGCTACCCTTGGTTTGATGCTCACTGTTTTTTTGCTTGGTAAGCTGTTGATTTGCTTGAACTTATCTCAGTCATTAAGAAGTCAATGTGCTGTATGCTAAACTGAAAATGGCCTTTCAATACTTTCGAAGCCATTTTAATCAATTGCTCAAAAATATAACCCTCTCAGGCAACATGGCATATTTAGATGAAATAGTATAAATATTAGATGTAAACTGAGCCAACTGTATGTAACATTTTTGAAAATCATACTTCGTCATATCAGACTTAGGTGATAGTATTCATGTTTCAAACAAATCATATTTTTGTAATGAACACTTGATTGTACTAGAACTGTTTGGGGATTATCGTCGTATCTGCTGGCAAAATTTAGTAGGAAAGTCTTTTAACAGCGGCTAGAATATTGTTTCTGGCCTAGCTTATGTAGACACATAATTAGATTTTATAATATCTAATGTCTATGGACTTTTGCAATTAATAATGCACGGCTGCTGCCTCACTTGCACTCTTCCAGTTTGTATATTGTCTTACCTCTGTTACCACGGCTAGAAAATCAATATGGGCTTGCAATTATTTAGATATTACTTTCTGGAAGTGCTAACATACTTTTAGTTCTATAAAAATGTGCTTATCAATGGTTCTCTTTATGCAGTACCGTTTGTATTTTATTCAAGTTAAGAAAAAGTGGTAAACACACTGTACCCGAGCAGGATGAAGACTGAAAGGTAATTTTACCGCTTTGACACTCATATATTATCCTATAAATTTTGACAATTCCTAAAGTGGAATAAGATTCACAATTCAGTTGTATGTCAAAAGGGGATAAAAATAAAAACAAAAAGGCGTTCCTTATTTATTATCGAAAGTCCTATCTTGGTCAAATACTGTGGAAAACTTGGTTAAAATGTATAGGATATCCTAAGTATCTTTTATATGGCCTACAATTTTTCTAGATTGCATGCTCTTAGAATGAGTTTTTGACTGTTAGCGAGGATTTTGTCTTGGTGAATGACGATATCTTGAAATATGAATCATGTGCCATAATCATTAGTAGATGTGTATAGTTTTCATAGGATTTGCTTCACGATTATTAGTTTGATAATTAGTTAGAACTTTGATATCATTCTGAATGTTGTCTATCCAGTGATGGTCAAGTTGGTGTTTGATCTGATCATCGTTGGTCCAAAGAGGAGGAAGTAAATTTCAGCCACCCTACCTCAGCCTCTTCTTTGTGGACAATACTTTGAACTAAATTAACAGCCAAAATAAATGAATTCTACTCTTTGTTTTGGGAATATATGCCTTACCGTCAATTGAGTAAAGTAAAGAGAGTTTGAGTAAGCATTTATGAGGAGTTTTACTTGCCCTTGAAGGCTGTACTCAAAGTTAAACACTATCTATCCATGTGGATGCTTAACCTTGACCTTGATTACCCCTTACTGACAAGTAAGTTAGTAACCACATGAAAAGATCGGATCACTGGATGTAGCCACATTTCTCCTCTAAAGAGGCCTCATAATTCACATCCCGCATCCCACACATGGACTTACTAGTAAATAAAAATTATAGCTTGAGCATTCTATTTAGTTAGAATGATATCGTTTGGGTCAATTTCAAAACACTTTCATGTGAATTTTCTGTAGGTATTGAAGCTGTTGCTATTGTGACAAGAACCGGAAAAGGGAATGCTTGTAACTAACATCGCCTCAGTTGCTTTTAGGGCTTTGGACGAATATGCCAAGTTACCCCTTGTTCGAGCACTAGGAGCGAAAGAGTCAACATGAATGAGGTAGCGATCTTTTCAGATCTCCTGATGCCATTAAAAATGTATATGCATTCAGATAGCATTTAAAACATAAGAAAAATATTTGGTAATGTAGACATTCTACAGTCCCATTACGCTTGAAACTTGAATTATAATGTCAATGGTAACATTGTTAGGGGGTGAAGACTCAAAATCCATGTCGAAGATGTACTTCACGATTTGCTTTTACTTGTAAAGTGCTTTTTAGGGGTGCTTGATTCACACAAAACGAATGATATCGATGGATTCATGCATTTCTTTACCAACATTTAGGTGAGAGAGTGGGAGGATGGTGGGATGTTATGGGAATTACATTACAATTCAGCTCCCTTGTGGGATGAGAATCAAGGAATTCTGGGATTGATGTGGGACTTGTGCATATTTCTTTTACGTAAGAGCCACATTGATTTGAACTAAAAACAAAAAAAGAGTTCTGTAGCATCTTTCCGAGCCAACGAGTTATTCTAGTAATACTTCTCTAACCAATGTTCAAAGCAGTCTTCAGATCCAATTTTGCGCTTCATTGATGAAAAAAAAATAAAAAATCATTGCTAACTCGTATGTATAAGGTTGGGAATCGGTTGGGGTCTAGAGAAATTTTCCGTAGGAAACCCACTCAACTTCTGTTCATATTTTCTTCAAGCTAGTTGTTTTCAAGTCATTTTAATTAAATTTCCCTAAACACATTGGTCAAAGAGAAATTAAAAGCAACTGAAAAAAAAAATCAATAGTAAACAATACTAAGCTAATTTATAGTGAATATTTTTCCTCACCAACCTCAAGTGATGGTGATGTCTGCGACTCTATTTATCATCATTATATAAGTTTAAATTTCGAGATTTGTGTAGTGGATGAACATAAATGTCAAAATTTAAACTTGTCCAATAGCAATAAGTAAGTTGGCTACTTGAATGTGGTGAGCAAGAATGCACTCAACCCTATATGATAATTTACTAAAAAGCAATAATTGTATAGAATACATATCCAAAAGAGAAATTATCAAATAAAGTGAAGAAGTGGCCCTTAATTTCAAGAATGTTAGTTTTTATAAAAACTTTCCAATATATCCAAAAATCCCACTTAAATAGACACAAATACTCTCAAATTAAACACCAAATAAACTAAAAAAACAGAAAATTCTATTAGATGAGAATTAGAGAATCTAAAGACAAGACCGTAGACATAAGATATGGTGGAAACTTGTGCTGTTGTACATAAGAGAGTGAAGGCATCGGCTACTAATGAGAAACAGTGAGATTTGTGCAGCCCTAAGCGACGATGAGGGTAGGTGGTTCATTGTATTGATCGATTTATAGGTATACAAGTTTAACATCAGTAGAAAAATGTTATAATTCTCAACAAGATTCAAGTTTGGAGATAGGGAAATAGTATCCGCTCAATTTACACACTCACGGTACAAAGAAACTGAAAACAGAAGCATACCCCTATGAAGTTGTTCGTCCATTTTAGCTCTTACACAATTTTAAGGTAAGGCAAACTAAATATGAAATTTAAAGATAATGACTTGCAGAAAAGGCACACCTTATTGATAACAAACCGTTTTTCTTTCCAAATTAGCCTGTCCATTCTGTGACTTAGCCGAACTCCCCTACCCTTTAGTGTAAAAATATCGATATACTAAAGAAAAAACCATTTTTCTTTCCATTTTCCTTTGGTATGAAGCACTCTTTTTGGACTGTCTGAGTCTTTGACTGTAAGTCGTTTCAATATTATTGACATGTACGCATTTGATCACATAGGAGGAATCGTTTATGAGAAGCAGTTCGTAGGATTGTTTGGGAAATTGAATGATGTAGATAAAAAATATTTCAATGTGTTTCACTTTTCTTTTCTTATTGTTTTCCTTATATTTTAGGAAGCTGTCTAGTTTGACAATTTTGGTAAGCTATGGAGGGAGGTGGACTAACTCAACGTACAAAAATTGCAAAACAAAATGATTAATTGTTGCAAGTTTTAATGAAGAGGGTTTGGGCTAACTTTTTATTAACCAAAAACCACCATAAACTTTTATTTAACCAAAACAATTTGAAATTTAATCATAAGGACAAAACTATTCATATCACAGCCTTACAAACATTAAAAACACGAGCTGATTAAAGCCTAACCCCCAATAAAATTCTTTCTCAATAACTACCCCTAAAGGCTAACCCAAGCCCGTTAGCCAACAATCACAATATATGAGAGCAACTGAAAAAAAAATTAAAAGGAAAATAAAAATAAAAACGTCCTTTTGATACGATTAGACCAAGGGCGGAGCCAAGTACAAGGCTCCCTTAGGCTATAGCATGGGAGAGTTTGGTTCTTCAAGCTTAAAAATATTAGTTTTTGGGTTAGTTTATGATTTTTAATTGTCATATTTAACTTAAGAAATGAAATTGTTTTATTAGTAAGGTTGTTTTTAAGAATAATAAGAGCTAATATATGTTCAATAAATAAACTCATCATTTTAACCAATATTGACACATCCCGACCCGGAAAGTCTACTTGGACTCCAAATCAAGTTGTGCTGGCCAACACCAAGAGGGTGACAAAGCCATAAAGTATAGTGATATGAGAAAAATGTGAATAAATTTAAATCTAAAAGTGTCTAAATACGAGAGTGCGATGTGAGCGGAAATGAATCCATTTCACACGTGATGTCAGAGCATAAGTGAAGTATAATAGAGTGGATTGACAATCATACCATTGAAGGTACTCTCCAATACCAAAATTTTCCATGAATCCTCGTCGATGAGAAAACTCATCTAAAAAAACCTGGAGGGTGGAAACAAAGCCACGGTGAGTGGCCTTGGAAATAAAATTTTAATAAAAACCTTCTAAATCATTATAACCCATCGCTATAACATATGTATAGTTTTAAAAAATCGTAGTTTGTTTATTCGTCCGTTTATTACTCTGATTTTCAACTCCATCTTCTACCTTGAAAATTGTGGCTTATTCATTTTAATCCAATCTCTTGTACTAAACGAGGCCTTTAGTTCATACCACAAGCGTCGGTTGATATACCTTCACTCCAAAACACTTAAACGTTATCATTCAATCATTCTAACTTCATAATTATTTTTGACGTATAGGACTTGCACCTCCCTTTCCATCCCCTACTTAATGCTGTTCCTTTTAGTTAATTAGTATTTAGTGTTGCTTGCCAAGGATCACATGATTAAACGGCAAATGCGGTTGGATTGTCGATGAGGAACGACCTTGCAAAATTGTTTCTAGTGAGTAACCACCCTACTAGCAGTTTCTAACACGACACGAAAATAACAAGTTTCGGGTCAACACGATAACTAATCGGGTCATTATCGGATGACCCATTAAGAACCCGTTACATACACGCGGGTAACACGTGGGTAACCCGTTTCGACCCGTTAAGAATTTTTTTTTTTTTAAGTTTAATTATTAAAAGATTTATTATAAAATACAATAGACATATTAATATATACAATATATTCTATATTAAATATATAGTTTTGTATTATTATTTTATATAAGTTAAAAAAAAAAAGTTTTAGTAATTATTTATTTTTATTATGAGAGTTCCTTATTATCATTACTCGGATAAATTTTTGTATTTTTCATTTTAAGTTCCGTTGCTGCTTTAATCGATCTCCGCAAGAACAAAGTTTTACTGTACTTAGAATTGCCAAATGATGTTGATTTAGATTCATTGTGGGGGAGGGAATTTAGAGGTTAAAAAAGGATGAGGATACAGATTTTGGGAAGCCTAGGATGGGGATGCGTATTTATATATCCCGTCGAATTGGAGAGAAAGAAAGAGGGCTAGAGAGAGTTCGATCAGAGGGGATACGAAAACGGAGATCGGGGTTAGCGAAGAACATGTGGGGTTATGATTCCAAATCCTGTTGACCTGCAGCTTGTAAGGCTCTGGTAATTATTCCCAAAACTTGTTTCTTGTTTCCTTTCATACTTACAAGAAAAATGCGTTTTTATGTTTTGGATGTGACAATATGGTATGTATATACTTATTTAGTATTGTTTGTACCATACTTGACCAATCCCGAAACTACTGAGCACCGGTCAACATTATACCATCAAGGACCCAGAAGAGTTTCCCTCCAACTAGGAGGCTAATCACAGCGTGACACGTGTCGACATCAGAAGCCAATCATAGCGCGACACGTGTCAACTTCAGAAGCCAATCACAACACGACACGTGTCAATGTCAGAATGAAACTAGAAACTCTCTTCTATAAATAGAGATCATTCTCTCACAATATTTCCGAATGTCATTTGTACTAAATCATTCACTAGTACTCACTAAAGGAGAGCTTTAACCTATGTACTTGTGTAAACCCTTCACAATTAATGAGAACTCCTCTACTCCGTGGACGTAGCCAATCTGGATGAACCACGTACATCTTGTGTTTGCTTCCCTGTCCCTATCTATTTACATACTTATCCATACTAGTGACCGGAGCAATCTAGCGAAGATCACAAACTTAACATTTTCTGTTGTACCAAAGTCCTCACTGATTTTGTGCATCAACATTTGGCGCCGTCTATGGGAACGACACTTATTCCCACTCTCTTCAACTTTGCCAAGCTGGTTTCCACCATTCGTACACTCTCTTTTGACCAGGCATCCCTCTCCAACATGGGGAGCGAAGGAAGCCACAGCACACAGAATGACACCCCTCTTGCACCTAGTGCGAAGCAACGAAAGAATGAAGGAAAGAGGGTTGCTCTTCAAGCTAAAGTCAATGAGCTAGAAGCCCAGAACAACAAGATAGCAATGAAGAATGAGGTCCTCCAGGAGTAGTATGAGAAGCTCTTTGAGACGCTCCATAAAACTAGGCGTAGTCAAACACGGGAGCTCGTTGCCCATGTGGACATCAACCATCATCTGGGTGCCCCCCAACACGGAGGGTCACCTCCCTTCGACATGGGTATCCCTGATGAGGAGCGAGCTAATCATCAAAACATTGATCAACATGAGACTTCTCTCAACCCAGATGCTTCGACCCGAAGTAGAAGAAGTGGAGGAAGACACCTCCTTGTAGAAGGGTTGGAAGGATCGAAAGTCGTTTATCGTGACTGCCGATACTTCCTAAAGCAACGTCGAGAGAATCCCTTCCACATATGCTCGAAGATCAATGACCCAAGGGTTTCTAAAAGACTCGGTCCCCTCCCACGACCCATGCCAGTTGCCAATCTAGGGAAAGAATGACAGGTCCCAGAGGAACATGAATGTACGGGGGACTCTGAGGTATTCCAACAGACTCGTCCTAGAAGTCAGTACGGCGAGTCCAAAAAAAAACCACACGCCCTTGCTCAAACTTTCCTACTTCTAAGAGGTGATGGAAACTTACGAAAGAAAATTCC